GATATAATTCTTGTAAACTTTCAAGACCCACGTACTCCATTTGCAATTGAGTAATCAAAGTTGCCCGGCGACTTAGAGCATCCGCTACCCGGTTTTGCTTTCCGCTTTTGTGTGTTAACACAAAAGTAAATTTTTACAAGAATAAGACCCATCGGGCGTGCATTCGACTGATATTCTTTTGCGTATTTATGTACTGAAGGGCCTTGTGATCGCTATGCAAAACAAAGTCTTGATGCAGCAAATAATGCTCCCATTGTTTTAAGGCCCGGACCACCGCGTATAATTCCTGCTCATACACCGTCCACCGCTGTCTCGGAGCGCTGAGCTTTTCGCTAAAAAATTAAATGGGCCTATTCTCCTGTGACAACACAGCACCTATACCAATGGCTGAGGCATCCGTCTCCACAGCGAATGGTTTTTCAAAATTCGGTAAGGCGAGCACTGGTGCCTGTGTTAATGCCTCCTTAATAGCTATGAAGCTTTTGTCCTGCTCTTCTCCCCACACGAAAGATTTATGCTTTAACAACTCGGTTACGGGTGCCATTAATATGCTAAATCCCTTAATGAATCTTCTGTAAAAATTTGCCAAACCATGAAAGCACCGCACTTCCGTGAATGTAGTTGGTTTTGGCCAGTCACGCACAGCTTGGACTTTGCGTGGATCGGCACTAACTCCATCAGCTGAAACTCTAAATCCCAAAAATGACACCATTTGAGTGGCAAATTCACACTTGGCATAATTTAGATACAATTTATGATGTCGCAAAGTTTCAAAAATGTCCTTTAAATGTTTCAAATGCTCCTCAAAGCTGCCACTGAAGACTAGTATATCGTCGAAGTAAGCCACACAACATCGATTCAAAAAAGGCTTTAATACATCATTCATCAGCCTCATGAAGGTAGCAGGAGCGTTACACAGCCCAAAAGGCATTACCTTCCATTCATACAGACCCTCGCGTGTTTTAAAGGCAGTCTTCCACTCATCACCCGGTCTGATTCTGATTTGGTGGTAACCACTCCGCAGGTCAAGTTTAGAGAATACGGTTGAACCGGCCAAGCGTTCCAACATTTCTTCAAATCGTGGCATAGGAAAACGGAACTTGACTGTAATTTTATTGATGGCTCTACTGTCCATACACATCCTCCAGTTCCCATCTTTTTTTGGCACCAACAGCACAGGCACTGCGCAAGGACTTAAACTATGCTGAATTAACTGTTTGTCTAACAGATCATCAACAATCTCCTGCAGCAACTTATTTTCAGCTGGACTGAGCTTGTAATGCGGTAAATTGGGCAGTGAAGATCCTGGCGTAAACTCTATTTAATGCTGAATAGATCGCATTGGTGGTAATTCGTGAGGATGTTTCTCAGAACACACATCCGCAAACTGTGATAATAACTCCGTTAACTCCACTGGATAGTGATTCTGCGGCAACGATTGAGCAACTTCTTTCACAATTACTGCCAGAATGCTTGAAGTTTCACGCCAAGCATTAATCATAGCTGCTGCTGAATCTGAAAACAGAGCAGTTTTTCCCTTTGCGCGTGGAGTCTCCGTCCCCGAAATTCCTGGCAGCAATCTAATCCGTTTTCCATTCCAATCAAAAGCATACGTATTGGATCTGCAGTCGTATAAAGCTCCGACGTCGAACTGCCATGGTCGACCCAAAATGATGTGGCATACATCCATGTCAATGACATCGCACAAGACTTCACTCGAATAACTTTTTCCAATTGAGAATGAAACCCGGCACAAATCTGTCACCATCATCTCCATGCCCTTCTTAACCCAGCTGATTTTGTATGGGTTGGGATTTTTGGTGGTCTTCAATTGTAACGCCTGCACCATTGCACGAGACACAACATTCTCGGTGCAACCGCTATCAACCAACATGTCACATACCTTACCAGCCACGGTGCACTTAGTCTTGAACAAAGCATGCCTTTGTGACGGATTGGGTATTTTAGGGGCTAACAGCAACTTCTCTATAACACAAACCAACTGTTCACCCTCATCCCCAACTACATCTTCATGGGATTCTTCACAGTCTTCTGCATTGTCAGCCAATTCATCGTCTGCTTCAGCATCTACCAATTGCAGCTGGGGTCTAGTCGGACACTCATTCGACTTGTGACCTTGTTGAAAACACCTAAAGCATTTGATATTTCCTGGCTTTACGTAAGGATTATCTTTCGCTGCTACCCGCCCCCGCGGCCACACTTTAGGCTCTGTGTTAGGATTTCCTGCTCCCGCCGATACAACATTTCCTGCTGTCAAGCCTTGCTGTTTATTGCCTTGCGGTGTAACAGCACTAGTTGGTCTACTACTCTCTGTTGCATTCTCTGGTGGCCGCCTCGAGTGACCTCCCCTGTGCGGCCTCTGCAGCTGCATTTCAATCTTCAAAGCATAATTAACAGCCTGTGATAAGGACCACACTTCATTTAATACCAATTTATCCTGGATAGCCTCTTTCAATCCACCAATAAATCTGGCAACAAGTTGGTTGGCATTCTCATTCAAATTGTTGCGGGCGCTTAATCGATAGAACTCTTCGGTGTACTCATTCACGGATCTGTTACCTTGAACACAATGTTGATATTGGACATACAACATTTGCTCAAAATCAGTTGGTAGGTACTGTCCACGCAGCATTTGCTTCATCTGGTGCCAACTCCTCACTGGCCCGCGCCCCTCTCGACGCCTGGATTGCAACAGCTGTTGCCACCGAGCACCAGCTCCCCCTGTTAACCGGCATGCCACGTATTTCACTTGCCTTTCCGGATCAATGTCCATGTACTCAAAGAAGGTTTCGACGGTTCTTTCCCAATCTAAAAAGTCTTCTATATGCAACCTGCCATCGAAATAAGGTATGTCAAGTTTAACTTTAAACTCACCGTGCGTTCTGTCCATAGTTCGCGGCCGTCTGCGACGCCGGTGGCCGAACTCTTCTTCTGAATCGGTAATGTCCA